TACATATACATATACATATACATATACATATACATATACCTATACATATACATATACATATACATATACATAACTTTGAATATGTATATAGGAAACTATGTCCACAGTTGTGTGGAAGCCTGAGTTTTTTTCTCGCATTCATCTGGAAACCTCTATTTCTACTGGTTTTTATAGGCAAAGACAAGGTCGTGTTTCTGACTGAAGAGGACAACGACGAGTTATTACAACAGAGCAGTGCCGTGCTAGAAGCAGATGATGGCGTTGAGGAGGTCGATCCTGATGTAAGTCATCAACTGTGCGTGTGACATAGGCGATGTGCACGTGCATGTCGAATGCTACGTCCACTTCCTGCTTCACCATTATTTTGTTGCAATTGAGAGCTACAGCCTGCGGACACGCGGTGTTTTAAATATACAAACAGCGAGGGGTGTTCTAGTCAACTGAGTTGATTTTGTGGTGTCGGTGTCGCGAGTATTCCACTCTGCTTCTCTCGCATGTTGTTGTAGCTGCGCGCACTCGTGTCTTTGACGCCTTGGTATAGCCGTATGTGTGATGATTGTGCATCCCAGCACGCCACTAGTGGTTCCACTCCATGGTTGTCGTTTTGTTCCACCGCACACATAGATATTGATCGCGTTGCAGTGCTCGCACGAGGTAGTGCCTGATACTATACGTTGTATAGGGCGGATTAGTTGTGTGCGGCTGTTACATGGAGTATGTATAGTAGGATATGTTATACTTCTGTGAGTGTACGGGTTTATGTGCACGCCAACACTGGATCTCTGCTCCCATGCCTTGCTTCCTATAAGCTAAGCCATTGCGCAGTGGTGCGGTGTTAGTCTTCTCTGGGTGTGGGGCATTGGCCTATCAAATTGTTATCATTTTTATAATGTTGTACTGTCAAATGTCTACTCAGGAGTCTTGGGTAGGACCTGCGCACAAGGAAAACTAATACGCGCTTTCGGCGTGTGGCTGGAAGTACAGTTAGCAATCGGTTGGGGGGGGGTGATGATGCTTCGAAACCAATTGTCGGGATCACAGAGGCATTTTTATCTGGGTGCTGAACTATGATACTTACTGGTGCACTGATTATTCCGTATACACAATAGGACCAGCGTACGGCTATTGGACCGGATGGCGAGATAGACTGGGACTGTCCGTGTTTGAAGGGCATGGCACATGGTATGTCGAGTGTTATATCTGCAAACTGATAGGCAAACATCTTCAGAATGTGGCGATTTGGTATTGTGTATGTATATTCATGGACCATTCTTGAGTTTGTTAAGACCCAATTTATAGCATTCAAAGTGATTAGGTGGCTTCCTTGGCCGTGTTTGTGCGCAATGAATAATAAACAATGTACGGCTATCGCTGTTCATACTTTCTCGAGCGAGTGTCCGAGTCTATCCAATAGGTAGGAGGGCTTTGTTTTGTACCTGTTTGTCCTCTCTGTGAGTGCGTGGTACATTCCATCGACTCTATGAGCATGTTCATATATATATTGTCGCCATTTTACCGAGGCTGCCTGCAATACACATGAACGCAGGCGCCGCCGAGTTCGACTATCCTAGTATGTTTTACGCCAGATATCCAATTTTGTACGGCGATTTGCCTAGATGGGCATCACCCCGTTATTGTGCCCTAAAACCCATTTGAACCAATTTGAAGTAGTCCATACTATCGCTATCACTATTAGTCTCGTGAACCACCAGTAATATTTCACCCAGTGCTAGAGACTTGTCTGTACTCAATGCGAACACGTGCCGCTCCCTACAGGCACTTGCGGACAAGAATTCAGGGACGCCTTTTCGTGTTTTGCCAAGAGTGAAGCCGAACCGAAGGGCATGGACTGTGTGGATGCCTTTGAGTTGATGCAGGGTTGTATAAAGGCACATCCGGTATGCGTTACGTGTGGTCTTGCACATTGGGGCTCGGAAATCGTTCAATAGATTGTACGGGAGGGTCCTCGGGTTTTTCTTCTACCCAGAAAACGGCTACGTTAGTCGTTGCTGAAGTGCGTGAATCTCCATAGCAACCCGCAAGAGTTTGTGCTGTATGATCGCGAGATATAGTCATGGATGGAACGTATCGCGTCTGTGGCTACTAGTGCCTTTACGACAGTCTAGGGCCGAATTGGAATTGTATTTTTTTCCGTGCTCAGTTATATTCGTTCAGATATTCTACGGATGGTCAGTTATAGTGACACACACATACACGTGTCTGATATACAGACATACAGACATATACACTAAACGTATTCGTCTATGCAATTGATTGTTTATATTCCCATACCTATATGCACCTGCGAGTATATGTACATGTAAAGCTTGTATATTTTTGCATCTTATAGATTCAAGTCAAATACGAGTGGCACTCTAGTCTATGCGTGATCGATCTCTCGCCTGCCCGAGCGTACTACTTGTGTACAGTTTACAGTGTTTTTTAACCCAATTCTGAACCGGCTATGTACTATTCACGTTCGTGTATGCTCTGAAAGAACTGGACCACAAAGACCCAAAATAAACAGGACATGAATATATATTTTCTATATCCGATTGCTTTCTTGCTATCACAAGTTTGGTACTAAATAGCATCGTCTTTATCCTACACCCCAACTCTGTGCAGGAGGAGTACGGACAGTACGACAGAGATAATGACGACGATGATTTGGACGAGCAAGTGGGAGCAGAAGGCGCGGCTGCTCCCAGCACAGAGACAAAGGCAGAGGAAACACCCGTAGAGTCTAAACAATAGTACAGTAATGATAGGGGTGGTATACCAAGTGAAGGCCTTTTCTTAATGTGGGGATGGATGCGAAGAATCGCAATCGTCCTCGCCAAGGTCGATATCATTAGTAGGTGGGTGTATGGAATGGATTGCATTGGAGTGATGGCCCCTCCAAGTGAAAGATAATATAGTAAAGCTCACAGTAACAGACAGTGTGAGACGGAAGAGAAGAGGTCGTGCTTAAGTATAATAAAACGACCGCTTTTGCAACACGCATACGATGACGGTGCACGGTTTTGCGTATCTACTCTATCTGATCTTTTTAATCCCAACAAAAGTAACTGGATCTCGCAATATAGCTACACATATGCGTTTATGCTGTAGTGGACTGTAATTGTCAGCTAAGCTTATGTAGTCGTTCTGAAAAGGTGGCGACTCGGGAAAAAAATAATATACTGCACTGTAGGAGTGCGCTATATATTGAACTACATAGCCGTACTACTTCCGTCAGTCAGCAGCAGTACATCGCACAAACACCCACTCTCAACGTCCACCGGTACTGTGTCAGCCATATCATGTGTATACCTGTAGTATTGCAGAAATGTCCACAGTCTATCCGTAGCAATTTAAGATATTCACAGCTCCTATATCCACAGCTTTCACTTGTTCGCAGTAGTCTGGTGCGCTTTTGCTGCGATCAGAAGGGTCATTTACTCGTTGCCGACCCGTGTCATTAGCAGTTGAAGATGTTTAAAGTGTCAATTGTGCAGTACAAAGTGTCCTTAGCAATCGAGCGTTGTACCTACTTTGGCGATGACCGCCGTCTATAGCAATCGCAGGTATCTAGCTCTCAATAGTGTTATGCGCTGTTGGTAAGCGGTTGGTGGATTGGTCGTCCCTCACCGACGTCATGGTAGCGAACTGTCTGTAGTCGCAGAGACGTTGCACAGAGGCACTTTTCTGTCGATGACCAGCCCCACTATGGCTACTCAACCCGAGAGTCCGTTGCTATGGCATTTAATTCCAGTTCGCGGATGACCAGCCCCACTATGGCTACTCAACCCGAGAGTCCGTTGCTACGGCATTTCATTCCAGATCGCTGATGACCAGCCCCACTATGGCTAATCAACCCGAGAGTCCGTTGCTATGGCATTTCATTCCAGTTCCCAGCAATGCGAGGCTATTCAGAGCGATATAATTTTCGTAGTGTTTCGCGCCAATCAAAGCGATGGAAGAATGTGACTGTTTGCATTGCCCCCTGCTATCCATAGCGATCGAAGGTGGCTGTACAGCCTCTACTCGCAGCATTACATGCGTGCTATCCATGGCGATATAGGAGAAGCCGCCTATTTTAACTACCCCGTGCGATGGCTATCCATAGCGATAGAAGAAGTCGATGATCTGCACCAACCCGTGCTATTCATAGCGATAGGAGGAGTGATAGCGTCATACTGAGAGTATGTTGGACTGTTGTACACCCTACTCACAGCATTACATGCTATCCATGGCGTTATAGAAGAAGCCGCCTATTTTAACTAACCCATGCGATGGCTATCCATAGCGATAGAAGAAGTCGATGACCTGCACCAACCCGTGCTATTCATAGCGATTGGAGGTGTGGTAGCCCCATCCCGAGAGCCCCGTGGTGGTTCGGCCCAGGTGCTGCACAATGGACTTGCGCATGGCATACACGGTGACATCCTTCTCGTGGGCGAAGCGATCAATGCGCTGTGGAGGAGTGTGAGGATGTGCAGAGCAATTGGTGTGAATGATTGGTGTGCATAAGCGGTAGGCAGTATAATTGGTGTACTTAAGCGGTAGGCAGGACGATTGGTGTGCTTAAGCGGTAGGGTGTACCTACTTCGGAGAAGTGGTAAGGTGTATGCATACGGTTTACGACCGCCGTGATAAGTAGCCCGAAAACGGGATCATCTGATACTAACTGATTGTTGTGAGGGGGGGGGAGAAAACCAGCACACACGCACACACGCACACACACGCAAACACACTGGCACGCTGGCAAGGAAACAGTGAATGTAATGGACGTTTGTAGTCAAGAGAACTCGGCAGATTGCAAGCGCTTGACCTGCAGACAGGGTGAACGATGGTTGCTACTAGCGTCTCAAAGAGCAAACCCGGAATGCACAAACAAACACTGTGAAGAACGCTTTATCGCACGCCTAGTTCACCAACAGCGACCCATGCGCTGACACACAGTGGGTCAAAGTGGTGGAGGTCAATAGCTGAATATATCAACCGGAGCACGAGACCTAGACGCGCAGGTAGAGTGACCAGTGGTTGTAGCTAGAGGTACTTACCGAACGGCCGTGGTATGTACAGACACTGTGAGCACGTGTACTCGACACGTTTATGAAACAAATGGCGGCTCACACGCTGGTACAAGGACAGCAAGCACAAGGGTGGTATATAGTCAACAGACTTACCAGGACGGCAAGTATGTAGTCACATGACATACCAAATCATAGGCCATAGACGCCCAGTCAGGGTGGCCGATGGTTGCCGCTAGGCTCTTAACGAGTGACCGTGGTATGTACAGACACTGTGAGCATGTGAACTGCCCTATGCGAATATCCACAGCATCGCTAAACCGTGAAGTAGTGAGCTCGGCAAAATCTACTACATAGCAATCTAGGAGGTATGTTGTGCTGCCACCCTTCTGTTCGATCCTGGGGGTGGGGTGGATAGAGGGCGATTGTTGGTGTGGAGTCATCGTATAGCATATAAGGTATAGACTTATACATACATACATACATACATACATACCTATCCACACACATACAACATACATACATACATACTTACATATATACATATATATATATATAAACATATGTATATATATATATATATAAATATATGCTTGACAGAGAGGTACATACATGAAAGCAAATCAAGATATAAAGAGCGCATGGTAGTACAAGCAGAATTCATGTACAGTATCATATTTGGCAGATGTGCAACATAATTGACTGTATTCAGAATTTTGGCGGATTTACAAACAATAGAACTATGGTCCAGGGGTTGTACATATGTGCCGGCAAGCGTACAATACGTTCATGCAACTGTAGTTCCGAACATCACGAGTATACTGGTAGTCTTCCTCCGTCGCATTACGTGGCTCATAAGACAACACAAGTTAGCTGAGCGAAGCTGAGCCAACACGGGCTTCCGCGCGATCAAGGCGCCATACCATGCGCATTCAAAAGGAAGTGCGGTACACCTGTTGTCAGCAGATACTTCGCAGGATACGTTCACCATAGGCTTACCATTCGCCATTGACGACAAATGAATAGCCCCTTGCCACCTGCGTGCACTCGTAAAAATCATCACTTAACTCCGTATAACGTGTACATGCACCTATACATGTAATATGAATTTAACAACACATACACCCAACTGTCCAAAACAGGTAATACAAATGAACAACACATACACCCAACCGTCCTATACATGTAATATGAATTTAACAACACATACACCCAACTGTACGTGGAAAAATCCGCTGAGCACATTGTCGACGCCATCCGTAGATACACCTTGCCCCGCTCTCACTCATGAACATACTTGTTGATAGCGTACTGTAGCCGCTTCATCGCATCACGCCCAACTTGCACGTCGTCTTCTAACACGAGCAGGCCACGATGGTTGCTATGGCCATGTAGCTGGAAATGTCTCAGCGCTCGCCCTGTGACAGCAGCATAATGAAAGGACGATAGATGTGAGTGTACCATGAAAGGACGATAGATGGGAGTGTACTATGAAAGGACGATAGATGTGAGTGTACTATGAAAGGACGATAGATGTGAGCGTATTATGAAAGGACGATAGATGTGAGTGTACTATGAAAGGACGATAGATGTGAGCGTATTATCAAAGGACGATAGATGTGAATGTATTATGAAAGGACGATAGATGGGAGTGTACTATGAAAGGACTATAGATGGGGAGTGTAATATGAAAGGACGATAGATGTGAGTGTACTATGAAAGGATGATAGATGTGAGTGTAAAATGAAGGGATGATAGATGGGAGTGTATTACGAATGGAAGACAAATGTGAGTCGCCTGGAATCATACATAATCTGGAGAGGTGAGGATCACCGGAAATGTATGAAATTCTATCCTTTATAAGTGCTAGCCTTCCAGCGGAGGGAATGGAACACCAATCTAGATGAATACGTGTACGTATACACACAATCCACATACGAATTATAGAGGTATATTTCTATTGTAAATTCGCTTCGATATTTAGAATGCACACATACACATATACCAACATATATCAACTACTACAATCACTAATTCAACATGGTAATGATTTGATCAACAGACAGCCTACCCAAACCATTAATACGCTCGACAGCACAACTCATCACCACAGCGTGGTCAGGCAAACGCTACACAAACATAACTATTTCGTAAACCCATCCCTCGAACGGACACGTCAATCATATCACTTCTAATTATAGTCATATCCGCATACCACGCCAATCACATCACTTCCAATTATAGCCATATCCTCATTCCACGCCAATCATATCACTTCCAATTATAGCCATATCGTCATACCACGCCAATCATATCATTTCCAACTATAGCCATATCCTCATACCACGCCAATCATATCACTTCCAATTATAGCCATATCCTCATACCACGCCAATCATATCACTTCCAATTATAGCCATATCCTCATACGCACACACTGAATCGCACCCCCAGATCAACCGTCAAGGCATCACCCCCTATCGCCTGTGAGGTCACTCAACAGCCCCTAACCGCGTCCTGTAGTTCCCCCCATCAAAGCACTCACCGTAATTGTATCGGCCGAGCACACGCCTACGCTGAGCCTCGTCTGCCTCTGCTTTCCCAACGGCTCCGATCTGAGCGCTGAACGACTCCTGCCACGGGTGGACGCGCACACGTGGCATGCCCTCCAGTGGGGCGTAGAAGGCATCAGCCGCCTGGTGCAGGGGCAGTGGGGGGTGTAGGTGTGGGTGTGGGTGTGAGTGTGGGTGTATAGGGTTTTTGGGTTTAGGGTTTGGTGTAGGTGCAGGTGTAGGTAGGGATAAGCAACATGCGCATAAGCGATGGGGTGTGTGGGGTGGAAAGCACCATATGTGTAGGTAGGTATATATGCACGTGGGAGCGGGGGTATGACTCATGGCGTGCGTGTAGGTACGATTATGTGCGTGAGATCTGATTGGTGGGCCAGTGGTAGTATATACACAATCTAAACACCTGGCAGGTGTGACACCATGGAATAGCTCGTGCCTGTTTTTGCCTAGTAGTTCCAGAACCGACTGGGTGAATGAATGCACGCATCTCCGAGTGTTCACTTATGGGTGCAGCTATGACACGCTGAGGCCAGAGTGCCAGGTACGCATGCAAGATAGTATCCGTACCACAGCAGCTTCTCCGAATGTGCATGTGATAGAGGTTACGCTTATCGCAGTGCGATCAGGGTGCAAAGTGGGCTGTACTACAGCCGGGTTATTACAATGGTCTAGAAGATACACACACATATGCTACAAAGGATCGAAATAGCAAACACCTGGGATTGACTGCCTATGCATGCACGGTTCACCAGCCAATCACATCCATGGGTTGTGAACGCAAAACGCATTGATGGTGCTAATTGGCATTCTTGCATATTCATATATACGTTATCATATTATTAATGAAAAAGTATACGCGCCTTTGTTCCTTCCTGATATATTCAGATGTTGTTTATGTGGACACAGTTAAACGATGTTGGTATACATATACTCACACTACTTAGCGTGCGCTGAGTGTGTACATCGTAGACAGAGATTGTAACCTAATCACTCATACAAAAGCAAATGTAGAGCTTTCACTTGCAGAATCGCGCTCAAACGCACGTATATAATACAGGTTACAAATAGCAATATATGCATCCGTTCATATACTGCTCGAAGTAGCGTACAAATATGTTCATTTATTTTTGTGCAAATCTAACTCAATTGAATATATATATCCAAGATCGCATAGAAATGCGACAAATGGCGGTAGAAACTCAACATAATGGCACAAACACACACGATAGACATCATCACAAGAATATATAAACACGCAATATAGTGTCATGAACAGATTACCATCCAAATAAATTAGACACAGACGCACAGACACGCAGCCACAGAAAAAAGACAGACACAGACATACAATATATATATATATATATATACTATATATATATATATATATATATATATATATATATATATATATATATATATATATATAGATTATACCTGTGTACGTATCGGGTATTATGCGCGTGTGTACAATCCTTCCCATATAAATTGAATACATATTTATCAACTAGTTTGTTAGGATAGAATCCTTACCTGTTGGGTACCGACGAAGAGATCTACCGGTGAACTCAGTGGGAGCGATGCGGACCCCAAAAATAGGGACGACAACGCATGGTACACGTTACTACCATTCCGAGGCACGCTCAAGATTGCTACTGCAAACTGGGCAGAATTGTCCACTTTGAAGATACTAGGACTGTCTAAAAACTTGTCTTTATTTCTAACGCCTCTGAGACCTCTATGGTCACTGATACCGGCTATGGGTTGAAGGTTTGCACTATCGCTATCTACGGTGTGTTGTATATTCTCGGCGTACTCAGGTCTGACGGGCCTTGTTCCATGCTGACGCACAAATATAGGAAACTGGTCTCTGTCTGGCGGAAGATATACCACACAGCAGAGTGCAGCCAATCCCAGTAGAAACACAGTACATATGGGTGGGCGCCTGCCTTTTATTTTATGCGAGGCACGTTTGAGCAACATTACTGTTACAGACCGTAGTCTTCAAAGACGCCCCACTTGTTTTTTCTAGACAACTCAAGGGGCCGGCGGATTACACTACCACAGCGAAAGCGAGGTGCTTCACAGCAAACTGGATTCACATGTCTGCCGATTACGTAAAGGACTCACTCTAGTCGTACCAGTACCCATGCACAACATCCCAAAAAACACACACACGATGTCAACAGATCTGTGTGTAAAATATCTATTCACTATTGAGAAACAGCCTACAATCAACAGAGGATATTGAATATGTTGTCAAGTTGAAACCCTATTACTATGTACTACAATACAGCACTGTACAGCCGTATGTTTTTGTTTTTAAAAAAAGAAGAAAACAAACTGAGTGAGTCACTCTCAGTCTCTCAGTCTGAGTCAGACTGTCACTCTCGTTATTAGTCGCCACTCGTTTTTTTCGTCAACAAACTTCGTCAGATTCAGTGACGTGTGAGTGAGATCAGGTCACCGAAGGAGTAATGAGGAGTAAATATGTTTTGTAAAGTAAAAGAAACAAAAAAGGGATTCCGTGAGTTTGTGACTATAAATATATTTTTAAATTATGCACTGTAAATATCTAAATATGAGGACTGCATGTATAATATACTAAAAATAGGCTGCTGAGACGAGACCTGCTGAGGCTGCTCACTGCTGGACCTGGAACAGTGGTAGGAGTGGGAGTCAGTGGGACTGTGGAGTGTTGCCTACCGTGGCTCTGAGTATGAGTCAGTTGCACTGTGCTCATGAGGATAATTAATAGTTTTCTATAAATAGATAGAAATTTCAAGAAAACATATTTTGTGGAATTTCTGAATCTGCTTTTACTTGATCAAAAAGTTATACATTTTTGTTTTAAAAAAAAAGTATTATTTAGAGTATAAATTTTTATGTGTCAATACAGAATGTAGGTTTCTAGAGCATAAATAAACCTAAATAGAACATAATAAACGTTTTTGTTTAAAAAAAAACCCAAACAAACCCCCCATGCCATCCAAACCGAGAAATAAAAATTTTCTATTTTGTAAAAAGTATATTTTTACACGTTTTCGTTCAACTTATTTTATGTTGAGGCTATAAAAAGTATGTATAATAAATACATGTTTTGCATAATACAACGTAGTTGACGCCGACGATCAAGTATTATTAAATCCATAGTCCACAGTCCACATATACCACACACCACGTCACCACGAGCCAACCAAATCAATAACCATAAAGCATCTGTGTATATACACATTTACACGTATATTAGTAGTGTAACTAGCAAGTCTGCAGCAGCTATACATACACGTAGAAGGCATATATATAGATCAAATACACATACACACCTAAATAGAGCACATTGCCTTCTCAGATATCTGCAACCATGGAAAACCGTCTCAGCAAACTCAACGACAAGACTCGGCAATCGGTCCAGAATTTACAACGGTTGTCAAATTCAACTATTCATTTCGAGGATAGATATGCTACTAAGAAAATACTCGGACAGGGAGCGTTTAGTGTGGTATGTTCAGCGTCCTTGGAAATCATGATGTCACGTATTCTATTGAATACATGGTGTAGAGTTGGGTAACTGGTAAAAATACAATCCGGTTAGTATGTTTCCCGAATTGGGTTCCTTGCACTGCACACATGATGGGTGTTGTTTTAAATAATTAAATCAAAATAAAGAGAGGGCTAGAGCACGGACTAACCACGTAGTATATATATATGTATATCTAATTTTCTGCCTATACTGAATCGTATGTATATGTGAGGGAGATTATGCTCTTGTATGCCTCATTATATGTATTCCAATATAACTCCTTGTGAAAGAATAAATGTAATGAATGAATGCACGATCATATAGTATACATATGTAAGCGAACGTAGGAAAGAAAGTTTACACATACACATACGAAACACACGCACACGCATACACACGCATACGTATATAAATGCTAATTTAAATATTAGGTTTTATATATATATATATATATATACGTATACGTATATAAATACTAATTTGAATATCGGG